TAAATCCACTTGGAATGTACAAACAGAACCTTAGCTTCCACCAATCTAAAAGCCAAGAATGCAATCAGGCCTACAGAGACATTTCCCTGCTTTTCTGAAACTTGCCTACCTGATATTTCCACCCATGTGTCAAAAGTATCTTATTTTCTTTGTCCTGTTACTAATAAAAACTTTATGAAAGTTACTACATTGAAACACGGACTTTAGGGTAACTTATATTTGTGTTCTTGAAATGTAGTCACTCATATTTGGCTCCTGAATAAATTGTTTTCTCATTTGAGGCACAAACTGTTTTTAAACATTCATGGGCACCCAGACCAGAAATAGGGCAGATAAAAAAGATACAAGTCTAGATTATTACTTTACTTATACATATATTTATTTATGTGGCATTTGTGTGTGTATATGCTACATGGATGCAGGTGCCCATGGATGCCAAAAGAGGGTAACTGTATCCCCTAGAGATAGAGTTACAGGCATCTCTCCAGTGCTGCAGATTCTGTTTGAAAAGTAAAGTTCACTTTGTTTTGTTTTTTCAATTAATTTTGAATTTTAAAAATATTGAATTGGGGGGCTGGGGAGATGGTTCAGGAGTTTAGACCACTTGTTGCTCTTCCAGAGGACTGAGGTTCGATTCCCAGCCTGGACGTGATGGCTCACAACAATGTGTAACTCCAGTTCCAGAGGATCATATGCCCTCTTTTGATCCCAGTGGACACCAGGTACACATGTACACATACATGCAGACAAACCATTCATTCACATAAACTTTTTTAATCTAAGAAAAGTTCATTTTTAAAATGTTGAATTAAAGTACTAGTGATTCTTCATCAAAAGTGAAAAATAGCATATACCACAACAATCCTACTACTAGGTTCATACTCAGAACAACAACAACAAAAAAAAAACATATTCACAACAAAGGTTTACACATGATGATTACTAGTAGCATTATTCACAACAGGCCAAGGTGGAAACTAGCCAAAGGTCCACCAATAACGAATACATTGTGGAAAATATATACAACAGAATATTATTGTGCCATAAAAAGAAATGCTACCATTTGAGTAAGCCTTGGCAAGATTAAGGTCAATGAAAGAAACCAAACACAAAAGATCATATATACCATATGATTTCACTTTTATGAACTACAAAAAGGGTTTGGCGGCTGCTTGTTACAAGTAGTTTTTTTCCTCCAGCCTGGTCTCACCACCAAGCCAGCCCCAAATACCACACAGAGACCCTGTATTAGGTATAAATGCTGTTAGCCAGTTACTGTTTCTTATCGGCTAGCTGTCTTAAGTATTAACCCATTTCTATTAATCTAAGTACTTCCACGTGATCTCATCTTACTGGAGAGTGGGGCAGGACCTCTGTTCTCTCCAGTCTCCCCATGCTGACTCCTCCCTCCTACTTCCTCGAATCTTCCTTGTCTCCTAGTCCCGCCTATCTTGCTTTCCTATTGGCCAACAGTGCTTTATTCATTAACCAATATGAGAAACATATTTACAGAATGACATCCCCCATCAACTGCTGAAGTGCTAATAACAAAAAATAAAATAACAGCTTTAGGTGGACTGAGAAACTCTAGATGGAAAAGTTGACTTGACTGGTAACACCTGTGGGCCATTAGGCCCAAGACTCTACTGGTAGGAGGAACCGCATACCTACTGTTCTGCTATCTACCACTTTGAGACTGCAGGGGAACTGATCTACAAATGGAATCTTCCATTCCCCAAAGTCCTCTTTTCTCTCCTATAAAATCCCCAGCCCTTCTGTACCACATGCACACAGTGTCCACACCCAAGGAGATATTGATGTTCTTCAGTTGTTCTGGTTAAAGAATAGTTCTGCTATTGGCCTGTGCTTTCTTTTATTCCCAAGTTGCCTGGATCAATTGGAATCTCACAGTAGCCAGGGGAAGAGGAGTGACTGCTAATGAGAACAAGAGGTAATTCTGGAATAACTACAGAAAACTGATAATTGTACAGTATCAGTGAATGCTGTTGTACAATTCACTTTAAAATAGTTATTTTGTGCTATAAAAATGCTAGCCAAGTGTGTGAACAACTTTAACCCCAGCACTTGAGGCAGAGGCAGGCAGATCTTTATGAGTTTGAGGCCAACCTGGTCTACATAGTGGGTTTCAGGACAGCTAGAGATATGTAGAAAAACCCTGTCTCGAAAAAATGCTGATGTTGAGAGAAGAGTATAATAGCTCATACCTATTTATTATCCTAACACTTTGGAGGGTGAGGACAGAGGATCATAGTGAGTGCAAGATTATAGTAGACTACACAGTGGGTTCTAAGTCAGCTTGGGTTACAGTGTGGGATGCTGTCTCAAAAAGAGAAAGGTGGTGGACAACAAAAAAAGACAAGAGGGGACTCGTTGAGAAGAAGGCCTTCAATAAGAATGGGATGAAAGAGTGTAATAAAGGGTAAAAATGACCAAAACTTGATTCTATACATGTATGAAGTTGTCAAAAGAATAATAAAAAGTAATTTTAATTTAAAAAGGAAAGGAAAACATTATTTTATTTTGACATATTTTGGTATATGTACATGTGGGGGTCAGAGGACTTGTGGGAGTTAGTTTGCCCCTTCCACTAAGTGGGTTGAAGACATAGAACTCAGCCTTCCTTATCCTGATTCCTGAGTTTTCAGATCTCCTTTACATTTTTTATTTGAGAAAACAGACTTGCTTACAACCCCAAGGCTTGCACCTGCTAAATTTCACTTTTAACTGGAAATAAACAGAATGAGAAACTGAAATTATCATAACTCCCATATTAACCTATGCTTCATATCCAGGTAAAAGAATAACTCATTTTAAACCCAAAATTGGTTATAGTATATGCCTGCCACCTTCCCCACACAATGTTGGCAAGGCAAAGTTCCCCACCTTGACCTCACTATGTTCTGGAATAAACACAAAACACTTTGTACCCAAGGATTGCTGCTGAATAGCGTTTAATTAAGTATAGAAATGTGTGAATACTACAGCCTGTCTCAGGAGAGAAAAGAAAAGAATCCCTTTGGTTCTGTTTCATGAAGTAAACTTTTTCCAATTCCCTTTGAATCTTCATAGCCCATGTCAAGGGAACAGTGTGGTGGTTTCTTCAGATAAGTCTTTCATCTTAATTACTTCAGAGGCTTTAAAAAGAAAAGGTAAGTATTAGTTACATCAAAAAAAAAAAAGTGAGTAATAAGTGACTTCAAGTTCATCCTTATTATTTTTTACAGCATTTTAGTTGAGGTCACCCCACTTATAGAGAACTCATAATAGAGTGATACAACTCTTTGTGGTTCTTTTTTGTTTTGCAATCCTGTAAACCGAACTTGGGCCCCAGCCAGCTAAGCACTCTAACACCAAGCAAAAGCCCTGTTGAATAGAGCAATGAACACTTGAGAAGTTGTCCAAAAGTTGCTGTTCCAACTAAATACTATCATATGCCACCCAAGGCCTGCCACAACCTCTAGGGTCATACCAAGTAGCATCTGGCTCCAAGTATAAACTTAATAACATTATCCATGATGATGTCCTCTCTTAGGATATAAAATGATAATAACAGGAAATAAGCTGCCCTTGAACACCAATCCCATCTCTGGCCTCTTCTTGCAAAGAAACAATACTACCTTATAATTTTTACTTCTTGAGTTTATTTTATGTGTTTGAGTGTTTTGCCTACATGCATGTATGTATACCACATGTGTGCCTGGTGCTCTCAGAAGTCGGAAGAGGGTATCAGATCCCCTGGACCCAGAGTTACAGATCATTGTAAGCTGCAACATGGGTGCTGTGAACTGAACTTAGGCCCCTCTACAAGAGCCATAAGTACTCTTAACCACTGAGACCCATCTCTCCAGCCCCAATCATATTTTATTTTATACAAAGCAGAATCTACTCTGCCATGAGTAGCCTACAACACACTCAGTACGATGGCCTTTTGTTTTATTTTATTTAACTCTAATTTTTAAAACTTTTAAAAGATTCATTTCATTTTATGTGATGAGTGTTTGCCTATATGTATATTTATGCACCATGTACATGCCTAGTGCCCACAGAGGCCAGAAGAAGGCACCGAATGGCCTGGAACTGGAGTTATGGAGAGTCATAAGCCATGAAGCAGGGGCTGGGAACCAAACCTGGGTCCTCTGGCCAGCACTTTAAACAACTGAGTCAACTCTCTAGCCCCCTATTTTGTTTTTAAATTTTTTTTTTACTAATATGTATTGTATAAATGTGAGAGAGACAGAGAACGCACAGTTGTGTTACAGCATGCATGAAAAGGTCAGAGGACAAACTCTAGGAATCAGTTCTATCCTTCCAACATAGGATCTGGGAACTGATTCAAGTCATCAGGCTCACATAGCAAGTACTTTTACCTGCAAAGCCATCTCACTGGAACAAGGGTATCATTTAAAAATAAAGGAAAAATTAGCATACAAAACAGTGGGTTTAATTATGATTTGACATTTTTATACATAGATAAATTTATATAGCAATTAGGGTTGGGGGTTGTGTTTATTTTTAAGATAGAATCTAATGTAGTCAATTCATTGTGTACCTGAGGATTATTTTGAACTATATTCCCTGAGTGCTGGCATTATAGATGTGTAACATATACACAATTAGAAAGTAGATTTGTAAATAATGTTGCATTGGCACACAACCATGTCCACTTATTTCTATATTGCCTATGGCTGCTTACTGCAATGACAGAATAGCTGTGACACACCCATAAGCATAAAATACTATCTGGCATTACAATTTTTTTTTCTGCTCAACTTCCAACATAGACTACTATAATTCTAACCAGTAATTTACAGCTACTGATATGCTCACTCCTGATCTCAATTGTATGTCCTTTCTCCCAAATACTATCTCTTGACAGCACTGAAGCTAAATCTGGTCTGAGAAGGACCCTGCAAACCAAGTCCTGTAATGCTCCTATCTCTACCAAAATGTTAGCTTCCTGTAAAACAAACAAATGATCCTCCAAAATGCTTTCTTACCCTTTTTTGTGGCCCCTGTTACTCCTGAGACAAGAAAGAGCTTCAGTTGATTTCTAGTTCAGCCAGCTTTGCCTCAGAAAAGCTGTCATCGCTGACATCACTGTATACATCACTAGATAAACAGAGAAAAGTCACTCAGCAAGATGTTTTTAAAATGCCACAAGTACTTAGTCAAGTTTTAGTTCCAAGCCTGTTCCATACTTAAGATCCATGTAGAGAAACTACTAAGGAATAATCTAGGATCATTTTGTAGTCTGGCCACATGCAATGGTCCTGCTTTGCTCAGAAACTGATTCCTTGACTTCATCACAAGCTGTAGGTCAGGAAATTTAGGAAAGGATCTATAGATTGAAATATGTAATACAAAGACTACAGTTGAGCTGTCCACTTCCACAATGCCTTGACTGCTCTTCTGTCTGCCCCTGTGCCTGTGACTTGCTTTCTACTCCAGGAGTTCTATTAACAAACTGACTTCATAGGAAAGCCTGGAGTGGTGGCTCACATTTGTATTCCCAGAATTTATTAAGCTAAAGCAGCAGAATTGTCAAAGAGTTCTAGGACTACCTGGGCTATTGTAAAACCCTGTCTCAAAAAAAATCATGTCATCATCAGGAAACTGAATGTAACTGGTGGTCATATGCAGAGAATTAACCCAGTCTCAGAAAGACAAATTTTGTATGTTTTATCTTACTTGTGACTCCTATTATTTATAGAAAATATACTAAATCTTGCATGTATATATGACATGAAAGAACTGTCAAGAGGAACAAAGATAGTTAATAGGAGGGATAGACAAGAGAAAGGAGAGTGAGGCTATAACGGAGAATACTTTCATTGTTCAATACATACTTATATATACTTGAGACCTGAGTCCGATACCCAGATAACTGACTCCCAAAAGTTGTCCTTTGATTTCCACTCTCAGCATTGTGGCAGATATGTAAATATACCACACACACACACACACACACAGAGAGAGAGAGAGAGAGAGAGAGAGAGATTGGAAAGATGTGAGACAAGTGGGAATGAGGTCACTATGGACACACCTTGGAGGGGTTATTGGGACTTCATCACCTCGTCTCCCTTTTTGCCTCCTAGCCACCATAGTGTAAACAGTTTTGTTTTTCCATGTGCTACCCACCATGGTTCTTACCACAGAACCAAAATCAATGGAGCCAGATGACCATAACAAGAACCCTTTAAAACAATTTTTAAGGAAAAGAAAAGCGTAGTTGATAGATCGTGTTAGTCTAGACTAGGGACTAAATCTCAGTAAATCTCAGTCTATCTAAAGCTGAGCACCGTGTTTTCCTGTTTCTACTGAAGTCAATTTGTTCCCAAGTTCATAAGCTATTAGTTCAATGCTGGATTTTTTTTTCATTTTTCATCCCTCTGATGACAACCATTTTCTTTGGCAATGAGAGGGTTCAGGACACACTACTCCCAAAATATGGCACTATAGCATAGTGAACATTTTAAAGTAATCAGGGGTAGTATGACAGAGAAAGACAGTGCAGAGGTTCCTCCATCTCATATTCTTGACGAGACCATTTGAGGTTTGACCAGAAGTTGATCTCCTTGATGGCAAATCCCGTAGAAAATTACCCAACTCTATTCTAGGAACCCAAGGCCAAGATACCCCAGCTAATTTAGCTTGGCTTCTATTAAACAACTACCTCTTTGTACAAACGTCTCCCTCCAAACCGCTTTTCTTAGTTTTTGTTAAACTGCTTGCTTGTGCAAAATCTCCCCATGCAGCTGCTAAGCAAGATAACTGGACGTGCTTTTTGCTTCCAAAAGCCTTTTGGTCTAAAATCTCTGGGTAGTCCCAGTAGCAGGAATAGACTTTCAATAGGCTATCAACTGTGTGTCTGAGTGGTCTTCTCTGGCGGGCTACCCATAACAAAAGCATACACAGGAAGGTCTCTTGAGTTTCATCTGCCCTTGTGCCCTAAAGCTGGTGCTCTGACCTTCCTGAAACAGATCATGTAGACCCTGAAGTGAAAAGATGTCTCCCTGAAACAGGGAAGGCACTTTCTGAAGACTCAAAGCAGCTGAACAAGCCAGCTCTGCTAAATTCTCCCAGATGCTTGTCATGACATCGTATCCTCTTTGTCCACTAGATTTCTCCATGCCTCTCCTGCTGCTCATCAGCTATTCTATAATAGAAATCACTAAAGAAGTCAGTGAGATAACTCAGCAGGTAAAGTAGTCGCTGCGCCAGCCTGAGGGCCCATGTTCAATCTCCAGAAGCCACCAAATAAAAAGTGAAAGGAGAGAAACAATTCCATAAAGTTGTCCTCTGACATACACACTCAGGAAGAGAGGTGGGTGGGGAGGGAGGAAGAGAGGGAAGGACAGAGGAAGGAAGGAAAGGAGGGAGATACAGAGAGAGACAGGGAGAGAGACAAGAGGACAAGCTAAGGTTTCTCTAGGTCTTCATTTCCTGATAGACTCCGATGCCATATAAAAATTATATTAAATAGATGTGTACTTTAGGGAAGTGTGTTTAGATTGGTACTGGGGATGTAATGCAGGACCTTGCCTATGCTGGGCAAGTATTCTATTGCTGAACTACTTCCCTATTTGGTTAGTTTTCTATTTTGCTTTGTTTAAGACAGGGTCTTTGTGTAGCCCTGGCTGTCCTAGAACTCACTTTGTAGACCAGGCTGATCTCAACCTGAGAGATCTCCCTGCCTCTGTTGCCCACGTTCAGGGATTAAAAGAGTGCACCACCATGCCTGGCAGTTAGGTTTTTTGAAACAAGGTCTCTTGTACTCTTGTAGCACATTCCATAGAGCTTGAACTTGGCACTAATTAAGCAGATGACAAGCATTCTCTCTCAAAACACAGGAAATACCTAGCAGTCCACACAAATACATGGTAAGGTACTCGCTAAACTGGGCTTGAAACCCTAACCACTTTGGATCACAGCATTACTATGATTTACAGCCAGAATCACCAACATTTTTCATTCCCACATTCCTCATAGATCTGGGTATTTTTAAAAATCTGCATAATATATCGATTTAATGTAAGAAATATATGGATGTTCAGGTTACCTTCAGTCACAGTTTTCAAAAGGGCAGATCCATACATCTCCATAAGTTAGCCCTGACCCATGGCTCTGTTTGGGTTTCTCCTTGCCTTGTTCCGTATCAAATAAATCAGCAAGTCTACAAACTTTACTATACTTTAACCGATCTACAGCAACTATTCCATGCCTGAGCCTTCCTTAACTTTGGCCAAGCATTTACTGACCCAATAGCAATAAAAGTCTGAATTCCTTAACAGGTGAAATCTCACTTTCATTCTTTTATAAGGAAGAGGGAAACGACTGGAGAAGGTCTATGCAGACAGACTAGAAAACAAGAGTCCTGCTCTACACTTACTGAAAGATTATCAATAAACAGATATACCAGATCATCAGAGTTTTTGCTTTGTTTATTCACTCTCCTTCTTGACTTTCTAACAAAACAGCAGAGCTATGAGGGCAGCAGGCCAGAGAAAGCAGACTAAAAGGTTAAGAATTGGTCAAAATGAAATATATGTTACCTAAAGACATAAAACAACACATCATCATTATTAGTAAAGTCAAATAACACCTCGCAGTTACAGTTTATGGTTAGGGAAAAGCACTTGCACTGCTATATAATGGCTGAAAGCTTGTTTTAGTTGTTTGTTTGGTTTTTTAAAGGGCTGGAAATGTAGCTCTGTTGATAGAGTGCTTGCCTGCAATCCCTAGCACTGGAAAAACTGGGCATGGTAGCCCATCCCTAACCCTAACCCTAACCCCTAACCCCTAACCCCTAACCCTAACCATGCACCATGAATTGGAGGCCAGCTAGACTCCAGAGTGAGTTCCAACGTATTGGAGGCTTCAGAGTAAGTCTAGCTCAAAATTAACTAGTTAATTAAAAATCAAACAGCTACAACTTCATCAGAGATTGGCCAGAGATATATTAATTTGGTCTGAAAGCTACATAAAAATAAGCTTTGGCTGTTCATGAAGGTTACATGCTCCTATGACATGCTCTCAGAACTTAGGGAAATATAGAGGATCAGGAAAAAAAATTAGGCTAATTAAGTTTCAGAATTATTTCCAAAGAATAATTTTTAAAGTTAATTAATTAAAAAACAAAAATTAATTTAAGAACAAATTATTTCCTGTACTGGGTATACTTCCCCACCAATGGCCTTAGATGAATCAGCTCTAACCCGTCAGCTCTCATTTTCTACCTGACGGTTGTCTTCACCAAACTGCCAATGCATCAAAATGGAACAATCGGAGCCAAGCAAATTGATGCTCAGCTTGAGTTTATTCATCTCTACGCTTAATCATTTTCCCTAAGTGTTCTCAGACTAGGTAGGACAATAAACCATGACACTCAAGAACAGAAGTATGAGAATAGGCATTACTGCTGAACTTGTTGATTTAGAGCTCATCTGAAGGCAGAAAAACAAGTGATAGAAATAAAATGTAGGTCATCAAACAAACACAAAACAACACCGGCTTCTGTAACAGACTAGAAAATGTGTGCGCCACTCTGGGCCCTGTATGATTTGGGGGAGTTTTTTGTTTCCCACAAAACAAACTTAAGAGTCAGTCATAAGTTGGATATGCACATAGACATATTTCACTTAAAGCTATCTCAGCTTTAAGATGAATCTTTTTAAATAACCTGCACACACACACACACACACACACACACACACACACACACACACACACGGGCCTTTTGTTATTTATGGAACATGATTCTGAAAGATAGCTCACACAGCCTCAAACTCACAATCCTCCTGCCTCAGCTTCTTGAGTAAAGAATTAAAGGCCAGCACTATGCCCAGCTAAATACTACAGTTTTGCATGTTAAATTCTATTAAGTGTCAAAGAAAACAAACACATGTATCTCTTGTTACATTTAAGGAAGGCCAAGTTTTGAAATTGGCCCATATAAGTACAAGCCACCTTGGCTATCTAAATTTAAAACAATTACGAGTCAAATGGAATTAGAAATTCCATTCCTATCTTATACTAGCATGTGAAGTGCTCTACAGCCATGTGTAGCTAATGACTGTCTTTTTCTGAACAGTGAAGGTTATTGACTATTT